TTTGCCCGAGTCATTGTACAATAAGCACTTCAGTTGTTGCACACTTGAGGAGCCCCAAATAAAGCTTGTCACTTACTCCAGGGGTAACTTACCTGTTCGGGGCTGTCTTCAAGCAGAAAGTACAAACATTAAACAAGGAAAAACAGTGCCAGCTACATTTTACATTGTTAAAACCGGATCTCCTTCGTTGGGTTTAGACCTGATTAAAGCCCTGGGAGTGAGCATTATTGATGGCAACGTGATCCTGGAGATGGACAATGCAAACACGCCATCTGCTGGTGAGCTTGGCACAGTGCACAATATTGAACTCAACTCCAAATCATACACTAGGATGTGTTAAAGGATTTATCCACAAAGTACAAGTCAACACAACAGTACAACCAGTACGCCAAAAACTACGTCGTCTACCACTCAGCATACGTAAAGAAGTGTCAGAAGAACTAAGCAGACTACTACAAGCGGGCATCATCGAAAAAGTGGATGCATCAGAGTGGGTGAGTCCTCTTGTTGTGGGAAGGAAACGCAAGGGAGGAATACGCTTATGCATTGACTTGCGAGAACCAAATAAAAGTGTCATAATGGACTGTTACCCGCTGCCTCACATGGAGGATCTCTTCGCAGAGCTGTCTGGTGCCACACACTACAGTCAGATCGACTTAAGCTCCGCCTACCACCAGTTACCTCTTCACCCTGAAAGCCGCAAACTTACCGCTTTCATTACTCATGATGGCTTATTCCAGTTTACACGTGTTCCATTTGGTCTTGCATCTGCGCCATCAGCTTTCCAAAAAATGATGGAGACCATACTGGAAGGGCTACCAGGCGTACAGTACTACCTCGATGACATTGTCGTCTATGGAGCATCAAAAGAGGAGCATGAATTACGCCTGTAAACAGTCCTCAAGCACCTAAGTGAGGTCGGACTTCAAATAAACTTTTCAAAGAGTGCATTTTCCCAAACAGACATTACTTTCCTGGGGCATGTGATTTCCAAAAATGGGTTGCGCCCTAGTTCAGATCATCTTGCAGCCATTGCTCAAGCACCTGCACCCCAAGACATGGCAGCTCTACGCTCGTTCCTGGGTCTAACTTCATGGTTCAGTAAGTTTATTCCAAACTATGCTACAGTAGTTGAGCCCCTACGTCAGAAGCTCAAATCTGGTCAACAAGCTTGTAACACTCAGCCCCTCGGAGCGCGCACTACAAAATACATCGAGGTAACTGTGACGCTTTATACCCGCTGTGATTGACCTAACGCTGATCAAAGAAAAACAACCACTCATTAATCTGCTGTGTGTAACGTGTACTCCATTTACTCAGTACTCAGTCCAAAACAAGCAATAATCATAAACAATATAAAAGACTTAGTCCTCCCTGCGCCCACCGTATGCCCCACTGTCAAACCTGGTGACGAGTACGTGGCTCCGGTGATAGTCAGTGTAGTTCTAAAGGCAAATCCAAGAGTTGACAAAACGATGTAGGTAATCCAAACAGAACGGGAAAGTAATCCAACTGGGAAAGTAATCCAAACGTTCAGAGTGTGGGCAGAGCGCAGTGAGTGAGTGCGCTCTCCCTCTCCAGCGTATAAAGTTCATAAACAAAACGCGCACAGGCGGTGCGTGAGCGGCAACCGGGCTCTCCTGCCGGGTCCGTCCCGAGGGTCTGTACAGTCCGCTACAATAATCCCCCCACAGATCTCCGACTCAAGTCTCTCGTGGTCTCCTCGAGCCGTGTCCAAAACCAAAAGCTCCCTCGTCTCTCTCCCGCGCACCTGATGGCAGGTCTCTGATGAGCGCTCCCTCCCGGGACACGCCCCCCCCAGTTCATTCACAAAACAGACCTGTCCCATTAGGCCCAAAACATAAACAAAGATACCTAAACCCCCATTAACACATTTTAAACATTTGTGGCTATGCTACAGAGTCCCCCCCTCCAGCCAGAGGCTACTAGTTGACCATATAACACATTTTAAGATTCACCACATTGACCACGTCCTGCTTATTGGGCAACTCCTCCCATTTGACCAGATAGTTCACAGGCCCCAACCTCCTGACTATGGAGGCTGGCCCGTCCCATCTTGGAGCTAACTTGGCAGAGAACTTCTCACTAGCCTTGGAGAGTGGATGCTCCCGAACCCAGACTTTGTCACCTGCCTCAAACTGCACCTCTTTCCTTCGAGAGTTGTAGTATTTAGCCTGGCGAACCTGGTGTACCCCCATCCTTTTCCTTACCTCTTCCCCTAGTTTTTGTTGTCGCTCAACCGCATCATAAGAGTCTTTTTGCTCAGGGCTGGGTGGTTTGTGAATGAGTCTTTGTAACGGACCATGAAGCCGCCGACCCAGAGCCAGCTCTGCCGGAGTCCTGCCAGTAGTTTCTTGCTGAGCAGTGTTGATAGCGAAACGAATCTCTGGTAGCCACTGGTCCCACATCTCATGGGAGGGCCCTACGAAGGATGCGATCATGGTTTTGATGGTCCGATTGAACCGTTCAGTGAGGTTAGTTTGAGGGTGGTAACTGGTGGTGAGTTTCTGTATCACCCCCCATGCTTTGCAGAGGTCAGTCAAGAGGCCAGCAGTAAATTGTGGACCTCGGTCCGAGACGAGAAATTTGGGAACCCCCCAACGAGTGAAGATCTCCTCTCGCAGGATCTTAATGATACGGGGAGTTTTGCTATCACGTAGTGGGAATACCTCCACCCATTTTGAATAGTAATCAACCACCACCACCAGGTAACAGTTTCCCTTTTTGCTTCGGGGAAATGGGCCCATCAGGTCGATGCCCAGCATCTCTCCTGGAGCAGTCACCTGTGTGGACTGGAGATATCCATGCGGTTTGGTGTTCTCTGGTTTATAACGCTGGCAGCTCTCACAGGACTTTGTGTGTTCCCATACATCTTTGCGTACAGTAGGCCACCAGGCAACCTCCAACACCCTCAGTAGGGTCTTCAGCCGTCCTAGATGCCCACCTAGAGGGTTATCATGGAAATACTGGAGGAACTCTGGGGCTAGGACTTGAGGGACGACAAGCTGGTACTTTTCTCCACCGTCTATTGGAACCTGGCGATAGATCACACCTTGGTGGTTAACAAAAGTGATCCGGTTGGGTTTGGCCTGTCCTGCTTTATTGAGTGTCAGGTCATGGATAAACGGGTCTTGTGTCTGTGCTTTGGCAATCTCGTCTAAGGTGGTTGGCAGGTTTTTGCTGTGTTTCCATCCAGCGAGTGCTAAACAGTGAGTGTTCTGGGATTGTTTCTCACAGGATCGTGACAGTGCGTCTGGTGCAGTGTTGAGGCACCCTTTGCGATAGTGCACTCTGAAGGTGAACTGTTGCAATCGCAGGATCCAGCGTGTCAGACGGGAAGAAGTTTTTGGGCAATTGAAAGCCCAGGCCAGAGCAGCATGGTCAGTGAAGACATCGAAATGGATGCCCTCCAGATAGTGCCTCCACTTCTCTATGGCCCATACCACTGCCAGGCACTCCTTCTCTGATGTAGAATAGTTCTTTTCAGGGCCTCGAAGCATCCGTGAAGCATAGGCTACCACCCTCTCTCCCTCAGGAAGGGGCTGTGAGAGTATGGCTCCCAGCCCAGCCTCACTGGCATCCGTGTGAACTTGGAATGGCAGATTTTGGTTTGGTTGTGCCAGAACAGGTGGGTTGTTGAGAGCCTGCTTGAGGGCCGTGAAACTGGCTTGGCATTCAGAAGTCCATTTCCATTCCACCCCCTTCTTCTTGAGATGGTTCAATGGGGCGGCCATGTCCGCGAAGCCCAGAATGAATTTGTGGTACCAGCCCGCGAGCCCCAGAAAACGCTGCAGTTCTTTAATGTCCTGTGGCACGGGGAACTCTGACACTGCTTTGGTTTTGGATGGATCCACCTCCACACCCCGAGAAGACACGATATGTCCCAAGAACTTTAGTTCTCTTCTTGAAGAACTGACACTTCTTCATGTTCAGGCTGAGATTGGCTGCCTGTAGCTTTTGGAAGACCGAGTTCAGGTCTCTAGAATGTTGTTCACGGGGACGTAGAGTATACAATGATATCGTCAATGTAAACAAAGCACATCCTGCCTCTCAGCTCTCCCAACACCTTCTCCATCAATCTTTGAAAGGTGGCTGCCGCGTTCCGCAAACCGAAGGGCATGCGTTTGAACTGGAAGAGTCCCAGAGTTGTGATGAAAGCTGTCTTTTGTTTGCTGTTTTCATCCATGGCTATCTGCCAATACCCCGACTGTAGGTCCAAGGCGCTGAACCATGTCGCACCCTCTAGTGACTCGAGGATCTCATGGATGATTGGCATGGGGTAAGCGTCTGGGAGGGTTTTAGCATTAACCTTGCGAAAGTCTATACAGAATCGCTCCCGGCCATCAGGACGATCGACCATGACCACGGGTGAGGACCAAGATGACTGAGAGATGGCTCTATGATGTCCTCGTCCAGCATTTTCTCGACATGCTCTTCAATGATTCTCTTTTTGAGGGGAGATACCCTGTAAGCTCGAGATTTAACTGGCACCTCATCCTGGGTGTAAATTGTGTGCTTTTCCACTGTGGTCTTGCCGAGCACACTGGAAGTCACTGTGGGCCAGGCATTAATGAGTTGAGAAAGTTCATTGGGCTGGTCGACAGAGACAGAGTTCATCATGAGCGGATACGAGGTCCAACATGGCAGGAATCTGCCCGGTTGGGGTGCGTAATATAAATGCACCCTCGGAACAGTTCTCGTCCATGGACCCGGTCTTGTGGGCGGCAAAAGGAAGGGATGGAAAACATAACCATTTGCCGTTTGTAATCCATAAACGCGTTTAGCCAGGTCTAGGATAACCCCAGCATCAGTCAGAAAATCCAGTCCGATTATCATGGGAAAAGCGAGATGTCTGTCGTCCATAACATGCGCCTCGACACTCAGCTTTCGACCATGCCAGTCCAGTCCGAAGCGTTGTTTTCCCAGGGCAACATGCGCGGTTCCATCCGCCATGACAAACCTCTGGTCCTCTGATGGAATCAAGTCTCTTGAGGTGCCATGGAGGTTCCTCCATAGACCCTCTCGCATGAGCGTGTAGGTACTTCCGGTATCCACCACAGCCACTCCCTGGACATTGCATATGGTAAGAGGAACCAACAGCAGCTCTGCTCTCTGCATTTGGGGGGCGGTGGAGGTTGGGTGACAACTGCATTGAATTTATTCCCACCTCTTTTTTCTAGGGCCCTTTTCCCAGTTCCCTCGGTGGAGGCATGCACTTTCTGCCAATAGCCTTTAGCGCTACCACAGTCTTTCTCCACCATGGACCCCACTTTCACCAGGTCTGTGACCGTATGGACAGTTCCTCTCAAACACCCCGCTACTTTTGGATTTGTGTTGTTAAGTATGCGTCTCACGATTTCTTCCTCGGGCATATCCGGTTTCCATTTGAGACACAGGGCCTGGTAATCATAAGCAAAGTCCCGCAGACGTTGGTCGGGCTGCTGCACCAGCTCCCTCAGCTTTTCCTCCACTTCCGCCATATAGTCCGTGGGAAGGAATGCGTTCAAAAATGTCTCTTTAAACATACTCCAATCAAGCACCTGGCCTTTTGCAGCTTTCCACCACCTCTGATGAGCGCTCCCTCCCGGGACACGCCCCCCCCAGTTCATTCACAAAACAGACCTGTCCCATTAGGCCCAAAACATAAACAAAGATACCTAAACCCCCATTAACACATTTTAAACATTTGTGGCTATGCTACAAGCTGAACTACAGTGGGACAAGGAGGCAAGTAAAAGTTTTACAAAACTGAAACAAATGCTCCTTGAAAGCCCTGCACTTGCTATTTACAACCCCAAACTGCCAACAATGATCACAACGGACGCTTCAGATTATGGCTTGGGAGCCGTCCTTACTCAGTTTCACTCAGAAACCACAGAGCGTTTGCTTCACGCACACTAACTCCTGCAGAGAGAAAATACTCCACTACTGAAAAAGAAGCACTAGCCTGCGTCTGGGCAGTTGAGAAATGGAGAACATACGTCTGGGGGCGAAGATTCACACTCCGAACAGATCATCAGGCTCTGACGACACTCCTCAACACAAAAGGTATGAACAGAGCAGGGATGAGGATTGCAAAGTGGTCAGCAAGACTAATGTGTTTTCAATATGATGTTGAGTATTGTCCAGGGAACCAAAATGTTCTTGCAGACGGTCTCTCACGCGTACCCATTGAGTCAACATTACTGACTGAACCAGAACCAGACTTGCTGGTTGAGATTGCCGAAATCTCCCCAATTTTCTCCGCACTGTCTCTGGCTGACTTTAAATCTGAGTCAGAGGATTGTGTTGAACTGCAGCTACTCAGGCAGGTGAGCCAATCCAAATGGCCTAGAACTAAAAAGTCTCTTTCTACTGAATTACAGTCATATTTCCTCGTGAGACATGAACTTGCAGTTGACTCCCCACTGATATTTCGTGGCACACGCCTGGTTGTCCCTGTATCCCTCAGAGAGCGCCTAGTACATCTAGCACATGAGGGGCATCAGGGCATAGTGCGCACAAAACAACGTCTCAGAGACCTTTACTGGTGGCCAAACATGGACAGTCTAGTCTACAGAGTCCTCTCCGCATGTTCAGTGTGTCAGTCATGCGATAAAACTGCCAAAGCTTCACCTGCTCCGCTACAGCCTGTAAAGTTCCCCGAAGGCCCCTTTCAACATGTGGCTGTGGACATTGTTGGTCCTTTCGAAAGTGGACCACAGGACTGTAGATTTGCAATCACCCTGGTCGACTACTTCTCCAAGTGGCCGGAAGTTGCCTTCACCCCGAACGGGACTACAGCAACTGTCCTCACATTCCTGTCAGCGGTCTTTTCTCGTGAAGGTAATCCATGTGAAATAACAAGTGATAATGGACCACAGTTCACATCTAGTGATTTTGCAGACTTCCTGGAAGAAAGACGAATTAAACACATCCAAACAAGCGTATACCACCCTCAAGCAAATGGGTGTGTTGAGCGATTCAACAGAGTGCTCAAAGACTGTATCCAGGAAGCACAAGCAACACAAAAGCCGTGGAAACAAACAGTAACCGAAATGCTACAGAACTACAGAGCTACGCCACACGCTACCACAAGTGAATCTCCATTCAAGCTCCTGCGAGGGAGATCTATGAGAACAAAACTGGACATACTGCCCCAGAGTGACTACACAGGACAGTATGAGGAGCTGAGGTCAAGGGTAGCTCTTCGTCAGGCAAAAAGCAAGAGTTACACAGACAAAAAGAGAGGTGCTAAAGCTCCTAAACTCGCAGTAGGAGACAAGGTCCGTATCCGCAAGCCTTTTCACGTTGGGAAAGGAGAGAGACAGTACACTGACCCGGTGTCCGTCCAAGAACAAACCAGATACAGCACTTTCATCTTGAGTGACGGGAAACGGTGGAATGCAAACCGCCTTTCTCTCTGCGCAGGAAGAGCAGAAGACCCTACTCGAGCTGGGACTGCAGGATCTAATACCAGCCTCACAGAGACTGTACCAAACCGCACTGCTCCACAAAGAGAGCACAAACCTCCCGCATGGACCAAAGACTATGTTTTGAAATAGCACTAATGTCATAGTCACATTATAGAAAAGAGTTCAGAAAGACAAAGTTACATTTTATAGAAGTTCATTTTATAGGATCTGAGTTATGTGATACCTGCTGCTAATTTTCAGTTAAGCAATATAACCCAAGAGTACAACGGTTGATTTGGTTATATATATATAAAAGCTATCTGGGAGTAATATTATGGAAGTATTTCAATATGTTAAAAGCAAAAGCTATATTTTTCATACTTGCATCTTGTTCTAAAATAAGAGATGTAGTAGTACCTTTATGAGCAATGGGGGAGATGTTGTGTTTATGTATGCATAATAGGATGTGGTAACTGCAGGGTTGTCCCCTCACCGAGAGAGGGCACCATTAGTATAGAGATGGGGGATTACAACAGGTTGAACAAGTTAAGAGGAGAAAAAATGTACCATGCTATGAGTATGCACGCTCTGCCATAAAAGCTCTGAAGATTGAATACGTCTTTTATTTCTACACCACCAACATAACAATTTGAGTGATCATTATCTTGTCTCATTTGATCTGCACTTCAGCCCTGAGCCTAAGCCGGCTTAAGTTAGGTCTCAGAGGCGTATTGTATCCGCTAATACTGCAGACAATTTTTCCTCCATGTTTGATCCTCTGTTGTTTACGGACTGCCTCGATGTGGACAACTTCGTCCATTTGTTTAGTAATCATTGTACTAGTATCTTGAACTGTGTGGCCCCTATTAAAGTTAGTTTGTCAACACAGGAAAAAGCCTGCCCTTGGACAAATGAAAATACTTTAAGTCTAAAGAGGCTATATCGAAGGACTGAACGTTTGTAGAAATCAACCAACCTGGAGGTGCACAGACTCCATCTCAGAGATCTTATGGCCTCATACAATGTAATGGTGGAAAATGCCAGATCTGACTTTATTCGTCAACTGGTAACTGTAAACAAGAAAAACCCCAAAGTTCTGTTTGACACAATCAATTCTCTTCTTTGTCCTACTGTTCCAACTGCCCTTGTCACTTGAGAAGCTGACAGCAACGCATTTTTGAGGTTTTATATGGACAAAATTAAGCGGATCAAAGAAAATATTCCTCCCGTTTTGAGTGGTGCCCCTGCTGTTACTGAGCCGGTCTCCAGCCTGTGGTCCTCTTTCAAGTCGGTGACACTTGCTGATATTTCGGCACTGGTGACCAAGATGAAACCCTCCTCTTGTCCATCCGACATCATTCCATCAAGACTTTTTGTGAAAGTGTTTGATGTAATGGGCCCCTGGGTTATCAAAATGATTAACCTCTCCCTTTCTACAGGCGTGTTTCCTAAAGCATTTAAACATGCCACAGTGGAGCCACAGTAGCTCAGTTGGTAGAGCATTGGGCTTTGAGCTAGAAGGTTGTGGGTTCGAACCCACCATAAGACTTTCTCCACCGACTCCCTCTGTCTGCTGTCGTTGTGTCCTTGGCAAGACACTTAACCTCTGGGAACATCTGATGCCACAGTGGGGCGGCTGTAAAGGGCCCTTAGGCAAGACACTTCACCCCCCTTGCCTAGAATGAGTGTGGTGTGTGTGTGTGAATGGTTGGTCGGAGGTGGTGATGGCACATACTGGTTGCCTCGCTTCTGTCAGTGTGCCCCAGGGCAGCTGAGGCTAAAGTAGTAGTTTATAACCACTCCATAGTTTATATGGAGTGAATGAATAATGACATGTAAAGCGTCTTTGAGTGACCAAAAAACGCTATATGAAACTGATCAAGTAACTATCAGCCCATCTCTATTATATGCACTATCTCTAAAATAATGGAAAAGATAATTTTCCGCCAACTGTCCAAGTACCTTATAACTTTAACATCTTATCTCCCCATCAGTCAGGCTTCCAGTCTGGCTACTCAACTACTGCTGCACTACCTAAATTGACAAATTATGTTTTCACTTTCTTTGATAATAACCAGTACACAGGTGGCATTTTTCTCGATTTCTCCAAGGCTAGGATCTAGTAGAACAAATATACTAATTAGAATATTATATGACCAAAACAGGTATCAGACACCAGTATTCTTGGTCTAGGAGAAATACAAAGGAGTAATGGTTATTTTAAGGACTTGATGGCCGCCATTTTGAAAATGGCCTTTCTTGGAGTCAAACTTTGGTAAACTTTGGAGTCAAACTTTTAATATGTTTTTAAGTACATCTGATACTACTGTAAACCACTGAGGAACTTTTTGTTCGAATTTTGGGGTCAAGCTATATTTGCAGCTGACTATAATGTCTAATGTGTATAATCAACCAAGCCGAGCACTGCGCTCACAAAACGCCAGACGTCTGGTGGTACCTAAGGTTTCAAAAAGCACTGTCGGTGGCAGAGCATTTAGCTACCAAGCTCCTTTACTGTGCAATCAGCTCCCAACCCATGTTAAGGAAGCAGACACAGTCTCTACATTTAAGGCCAGGCTTAAAACACTCTTCTTCAATCTAGCATTTGGTTTGGTTGTCTGTCCGGTCAGGTCTCGTCCAGTCTTGGAGTCTGCGTATATGGGACACGGTCAGCTGCATCTTCAACCCTACATTCTAGGCTAGGCTCAAACAGTCCTCTTTCAGTTTAGCATATGATCAGGAAGGTAAGACTCGGGAAGGCTAAACATCTTACACTGTCAGTCAAGCTGCATAGGGAGTCAGTTTGCTGGGAGAAGTATGGTAACTTGAGCACTATCCTCTCCTCCTTCCTACTTTATCTGTTTTGCATTATTAGGATTTTGACTGTAGTTTCTTCATTGCTGTTCACCCATTGTCCCATTGTCTGTTTCATGGTACGACGATGGGACCTCTGAACCTGGCCTCTTCCATGCGGACTGCCCTGCCCGACCCGCTTGGGAGTGCTTCAGTCCTGCACTGGACCTGTCCACGTTCAATGACCACTGTTCCACGTTCTGTAGCTTAGGTCCTGGATCTATAGCCCGTCCGTCCGTGTGGAGCGGATCCCTTTCTCAATATTGGGTCTCCGCGAGGTTTCTTGCTTTTTTCCCTCTGGGTTTTTGTGAGTTTTTCCTTGCCGATACAGGAGGGTCTGTTGGACAGTTAGCGTCCAACAAAAAGGACGTGGTGATGATCCAGGACACTTTAACATTCTATAACATGTATGGAAAAAAATTTGTTCTATATTCTGTGTTTTCACTGTTGATTCTCCGATCTGTGTTGGTGATTTCAATGGTTTTGTTAAGTCCTTTGAGATTACTTCTGTTGTGATTTAGGGTTATACAAGAATAAATTGTAATTGTAAAAACTCACTTTTTTTTTTTCATAGTATAATTTCATATTGTTGTTCCATAAACCATATTCCCCCTGGCTCAAAACTGAACATTTGTACCCAAAATGTATTAAAGGAACAATATGTAAACATCTGGCCAAAAGTGGTACTGCAGTCACAGTCAATATTTTGTAGTCCTCTCCCACTCTCCCTGACTCAGGTTGCCAGATACACACCAAATCCAGCAGCAAACACAGGGAATTATTTTATCAGTTGTTTGTCTGTCTCCATTCACATTGCCATGAGGCATCCTAATGTTGAATGAATGTTTATTTTTTATTTTTTTATTTGGACATAAAACAAAATAAAAGCAATGTAATTATAGATTATCCAAAATAAATGAGCAATTGATGTCCAAAATAGGAGTGGGAAGAATGGATGTTGGAACGTATTTATTCAGCGTATCAACATCAGGGTTTGCTCCAGAGGATATCACCTTTCAATTTGATTTATCCCTATTTTTTAGACAAACATGTATAAGCCCCACATCAAAAAGAGACTAACATTATTTTAATTGGGGTACATGTGGTCTTAAATGATTCGTTTTACAATTAAGCTATAATCTGCAAAAAAACGTCTTGACCTTCGTCTATTACCGTTTTTAGAGCAATCTGTCATAGAATGTGATAACATAGAATTAAATACACAAAGACTCTGTCCGGGATTGAACCCGGGTTACTGCATCGTGAGCGTGTAGTTGTATCCACTAGACCACCGATTCACGCAGTTGAAAGAACTTAGAAGAACGGACTCAAACCGGCAAATTTTGCATCACAAGTAAACTTTTATCAGCTGTCTCAATTGTTCAAAGGCGCCCCAATATAAATCCTCGTTTTAGTCTTTGTTTTGTCATTAAATATTTGAGAGTCATAACAAGACCTTTTTTAGTTCCGCGGCCACATGTTATTTTACCACTGAGATTAGTGAGTCGCGCTGAGTTCTGGCAACCCGATCACGGACTTACATGACACTTCCTGATTGGCGAAACGGCGGAGGGTAGGACATCAAAATCAATACCATAACAACTTTTACGGGTCGTAAAAAAAATTTTGATATTCAAATATCTTGGCTGAACTACTGTTATCAGTTAAAGGTGTATTCGAAAAGAGCATGATTTTATAACACCTTTTGAAATATGGGGGCCATTTAATGATGACTTGACATGCAAATATTACATACTGCTACTTTAACTATGAAATGTATTAAATTGAAATGCATTTAACCCTAGTTATCAATTTCAACACCACGCACGCCCAAAGCCCAAAAACCCAAAGTCCATTTGACACTTCCTCTCGACGCCTCTTTTTCATTTTTACCATTACCATTTATGGTAATGTCAATGGTTATTAATGGTAATGACCATGTTACCATTACCATTTATGGTAATGACCACCAAAATGTCCACTCTGCTCCCTGTTTCAAAACTCTTCTCTGTCTGCATAACTTCAGACGCCAGACCAGCAGCAAGCAGTCCTCCAAACGGGACACAAAGCTGGATATTCTAGTTCTCAAAATGTACCAAGATATCACCTCCTTTTTTATTACTTCTGCACTTCGAACAAACAGCCTGCGCTTTTGATTTTGTTGCAAATCGGCCCGTGATTAATCGTCAGCAGCTTCCGATGCGGGGTGGAGTGTCGTTTGTGGGTGTCGATGGTGCTGTATGGAAATGGGATGGTGGTGGGATGGGGCTTGGGGCGTGGATGTCTGCTCCACAAGA